ATTTTCATTTTGAGAGGAGGTCTCCTAAATTCCCAGGCTAGCCCTGAACTCTGTAGCTCTAGCATGCCTTGAACTTGAGATTTATTTGCCTTGGCCTCCTGAGCAGCTGGGATTAACAGGCCTGTACGAACAGGCCCAGTTCTGCTACTGAGCTTTAAGGAATTAGCGTTCTGCTTTCAAGTGAAATGTCAGACTTAGCCAGAGTTGTACAAACTCCTTCTAACTTGAGGTCTCAGCCCATTCCTTGGTCTTCAATGTCTTCCTATCTCTAAAGACTTTTAACTATTTACCTTCATTTACTCTTTTTGCTAATTTATATTCTAATAAAGGCAAAACATATTTTTCTCCCCCACAACTCCCCAAAATCCCTTGCTGTGCTGAACATCAAACACAGGGCCTTGTACATGCCAAACAAGCATTCTATCACAGAACTATACTCCAGGCCTTCAAGATAGAAAACTAAATCTAGTTGTAATCAGTTTACAAAATGCAAAAAAACAAGTTAATAAAAAAGTCTTCTCTGTAGCTTTAGTCTCCCTGCTCTCCAAGGACATGGCACACAATTCTTCTGATTCAAATAAAGATCTTCTGTTGACTCTTATTCTACTCAAACTGTTCACTATTTGAGTCATTTATAATGTCTACTTTCCTAAGTATAAAAAGCACTGACAGACTAGAATTCTTACATACATTTCCCTGAGTCAAGGCAAAAAAAAAGTCTAGCAGGGTGGTGGTGCAGGCTTTTAATTCCAGCACTTGGAAGGCAGAGGCAGGTGGATCTGAGGCCAGCCTGGTCTATAGAGTGAGTTCCAGGACAGTCAGGGATACACAGAGAAACCCTATCTCAAAAACCAAAAGAAAAAAAAGTCTAGCATGGATAGGTAACTGAGTCTTTGCAGATCTGCACTGTATCTATCATCACAGCTGAACATCAATTTGGCCTACAGCAGCAGCAGTAAGTCTATGTTCTATATTCCTCAGCATTTTCCCATCAAAGTAATTTATAAGAGTCTGAGGCCACTCTGGGCAGCACCCTTCCAAGACACAGGGGGGTGGGTTGGGGGGAGTGGTGAAAAAGGAGACAAAAATCATTGCAAATCGGGATGCTCAACAAATACAGTTACAGCTGGGCTTGGTGGCTAATCCCACTCAGGAGGGGGCAGAGGCAGGTAGTCTAGTGAGTTTTGAGGCCAGCCTGGTCTACACAGTGAGTGCCAGGACAGCCAGCACCGAGTAGAAAGACCTTGCCCTCATTACTCCTCACCATACACACTCATATATGAGTGTGTGTGTATGTATGTATATATATGTGTGTGTGTACACACATATAATGTATTATTAAACTACTAGTGCACCAAAAGCTAATAAACATAAACTAAACTGGGCAAGGGTCAGGGAGGGCTGTGTGGTAGGAACAGGAATGGTAGTTCTGGGTCTCACTGCACTTTATAGGGAATGGACAGATGTCTAAAAAGGCAGTCTTAAGTGTTGGGCTCTGCTCTCCAGTGTTCTTTATCTCAGCCTTTTCATTCTCACTTCCCTTCTAGCACTCTATACTTTCCCATAGTTTTCTCATTTTACCCAGTTAGAGCTTCCTTTTTAAATGTCAATTTGTAGTAGGTAGTATATAATGAAGGAGTCAAGAAAAAAACTTTTAGGGTGATGGAGGGAAAAAAAGAGTCAAGTGTGTGAATCAAAATGTAGACTGATTGTAAATCCTGTTTGTGCTACTAATTTAGTTTAGCCAACTATTATCTGTAATGTAATAAGATTATATTCTCAGCCATGGTGGCATATGATTTTAGATCTAGCACTCAGAGGCAGAGGCAGGTGGATCTGAGTTTGAAGCCAGCCTGGTCTATAGATCAAGTTCCAGGACAGCCAGGACTTGACAGAGAAACCCTCCCTAGACAAAACAACTTTTTTCGCATAGTCCTTATGAAAGGTAAATACAGAATAGAGAGATGGCTCAGTAGTTAAGAGCACTTACTGCTCTTCCAGAGGACCTGAGTTCAATCCCTACATCAGGAAGCTCACAAATGCCTGTAACTCTAGCTCCAGAGGATCTGATGCTCTTTTCTGGCTTTCAAGAAGCACCTGTATACATATGGCATACACACACATGTACGCACACCTAAATAAAAATAAATTAAGAAAAAAAAAGTAGCACTCGGGAGGCAGAGCCAGGCGGATCTCTGTGAGTTCGAGGCCAGCCTGGACTACCAAGTGAGTTCCAGGAAAGGCGCAAAGCTACACAGAGAAACCCTGTCTCGAAAAACCAAAAAAAAAAAAAAAAAAAAAGAAAAAAGAAAAAAAAATTAATATACTCAATCCACCGCACAGTAAATATTAGCTATTTTTCCTTTCTTGTGATCTGTCTACAGCTTAAATTCAGTCTTCTTTCTCACATTTTTTCCTTTTTCTGGATTATTCAGAAATATCTTTAAACCTGGCCAATAATCCTCTAACATTAAGAAGAAGGCAGAGGGCCGGGTGGTGGTGGTGGTGGTGGTGGTGGTGGTGGTGGTGGTGGTGGTGGTGGTGGTGGTGGTGGTGGTGGTGCACGCCTTTAATCCCAGCACTCGGGAGGCAGAGCCAGGCGGATCTCTGTGAGTTCGAGGCCAGCCTGGTCTCCAAAGCGAGTTCCAGGAAAGGCACAAAGCTACACAGAGAAACCCTGTCTCGAAAAACCAAAAAAAGAAGGCAGAAAATAGTTTAAGTTGGAGGGCAGCCTGGGATACACACAGACCTTGTGTCACACAAAACAGGCTGGGAAAGAACTCCAGTGGTAAGATGCCTGTTCAGTGTGAAGATAACAAGTTCACAACCTGCCTAAGCTATAAAGTGAGTCCAAAGCCAGTTTAAACAAGTTAGTGAGATTGTCTCAAAATTAGTTTTAAGGGCTGGTGAGAGGGTTCAGAGGGTAAAGGTGTTCTGTTGATGTCAAGCTTCACAGATGATCTGAACTTTTTTGATCTACCCCAGCATGGTGGAGAGGAACTGACACCCTAAGTTGTTCTCTGACCTCCAAGTCAACCTTTACCATAGCGACATTCTTCAGTCTGCAGACACTTGTTCTCAGTCAACCAAACACTGGTGTTTTGTTGTTTCAAGTCAGTATGAAAAAAAGCATAAAAGATAGCCTGAATGTGAAGGTCAGTTAGTAGAGTGCCTATCGTGCATAAAGCTCTGTGTTTGAGCCTCGGCACTGCACACACTGAGTGTGGTGGGGCACACCTCCCAAACTCTGGAGGCAGAGGCAGAAGGAACAGAAATTCAAAACCATCCTTGGTTACATAGTGAGTGCCAATCAGCCTCAGCTACATAAGACCTGTCTAAAATTTAAAAAAAAAAATTAAGGAAAAATATGAAAATTCTTATCGGTAAATAACTTGTCCGAATATAATGAACAGAAACATACAGAGGCAGGCCAATCTCTGTGAGTCTGAGGCTAGCATGGTCGACAGAACAAGTTCCAGGATAGCCAGGAAAACAGAGAAATCCTGTCTCAAACCCCCCGCTTCCCAAAAAGAAAGAAATTAAAAGAAACATAGGAACCCCAGTATGTACAGCATAGAGGGCACTAAGCTAAAATGCAACCAACTGATCTAAACATTTTTATTTACTGACACAGGTTTTGTTCACTGTGCTTTAAGACCCTTTATTGTTGTTTTCATGTGTCTGTAAAGAAAACCACGTCCTTAAATCATTCTAGATACATGACCCTTTTGCATTATAAAAACAGTAAAGCCACTTCACCAATGCTGGGAGATAGAGAATAAATGAAGGAAAATGGTATTTTCCTTTTACTTCATTTCAGATTTGTATTTGAGTGCCTGTAGGACAGATCCCCTGGTGCTGAAGTTACAGGTGTTTGTGAGCCACGTGTATGTGGGTGCTGGGAACCGAACCCCTGCAGAAGAGCAGAAAGTGCTCTTAACCGCTGATCCATCTCTCCCTCAGATAATGGTATTTTCACAATGAACTGTCCACAGTATCATTCTGGCCAGAGTCCAACTTACTCATCAGTGAGACGGACTGTGGCTTTTTATATGCTTAATAAGATTTAGATATCATAAAAAATACTTATTAAAACCATGCCTTAACCACAAGTGAAGGTCAAGCAGATGGTCTGAATAAGAAAACTAAGTCACTGAAGTCAAGAGAACTCGCTAGTCTGCAGAGAACAAAGGCTACCTTTCTTAAACTATCTCTACTCAAGCCAAAACTAAAACAAGAACACCGATTTCTCGTTCATCTCGCGCTAAAGAACCTGCGGTCCCTTACCTCCCTCTATCATTTCTTCCCACGGTCTCCTGGGTTACTTTCCCTACTTTTGCATGACTGCCAAGACACATTTTAAAATAACGGAGACAAACCATCCGGGTCTGCAGCAATTCTTATTCGACAGGTCGAAGGGGGAAAACTCGGCTAGAGAAAAAACTCAAGTTCCGATTCTCTCGTCGCTCCAGCCTCTGAGTAACTTAAATTCGAGTTCCCGCTAAGTCCCGCACCGCTCGGCAGACCGTGCCGGCGACGGACCGGCATTCCGGCCCGCCCTCCCAGTTCCTCCCGGTTCCGGCCGTCTTTCCCTCCTACACCCGCATCAAGGCGCCCTCCACCACGCGCGAGCAAAAAGGCTTTTTTTGTTTGTTTTTTGTTTTTTGTTTTTCCCTCTTTGGGAAAGCGGGGAGAGAGCGTTCATTTCTGGAAAGATTGGGTCGTTGGCGCGCGGGGCAATACCAGAGGAGGCGGCAGGGTCGAGAATGGGGCGGGAGCACAGTACTATCCATCAAGCTCTCCGCGCTCGGAGATCGCCGGTCTCCTTCGGGCCTCATCCAGGGCTCAGAAATCTCCCCTCACACCCGGAGCCGGGGTGGAACCTGTGGGTCGAGGCTCGCCCCGGCCAGGTCGAGAAGGTAACTCTCGATGCCCGGGACCCGAGGGGGCGGGAGCAAGAGGAACAAAGCGGCGGCCACCCACCGCCAGTACCCGCTTACCTACGGACAACAGCTGCATGGCGTGAGTGAAAGACGGGTCGAGCGAGTCCTTCTCCGCCATGAGTTCGGGCAGGTACTTATTCTCCGGCTCCATCTTGGCCGCGGCTGTAGCTGACGGGGGCAGCAGCGGGGTCGGCGCCGACCCCACTACAGTCGCGTCGGGACCCGTGGCCGAGGGAGGCAGCAGCGGCGGCGGCTGCGTGGCGGGCGAGGCCCGGACGCCCCCTCTGGGCCCACCTCCGCCTCCCCGGGACCGGTGAGGCAGCGGTGACGGCCGTGTCGGGGTCTGACGCACCGAGGGGTGGACACCTGAGGGGTCCATGGAGCCGCTGCGGCCCGAGGACCGAGTCAGGCGCGCGGCAGGGTCGTCCCGGCGCTGCATCGGGGAGGATGTGCGGCGAGCGAGCGAGGGAGCGACGCGGCGGCGGCGGCGGAGGCCCGAGCGGCGGTTGGCGGGGGTGGAAGAGCGGGAGCGACGGCGACCGAAGCCGACCCGAGCGACCCAGCGAGAGAGCACCGGAAATGAGGCGGCGCGCGTGCGCAGGCGTCTACCGGCACCGCCCTTGAGGTTCTCCGCGGAGAACAAAGTCCCCCAGTCGGGCCACGGCGCCTGCGCCGACTAAAGACGTCGCCTCCCCGCTCGGGCTTCGAGTTTACTGCGCCTGCGCGGGCGCCAGCCGCCTTCGTTCGCTTCTTTTTTTTTTCCTTTTCCACGTGACGCGGCGCTAGCGGTACACGTGTCTCCTCCCCCCCCCCTCCGCCCCCCGACACTCAGGCGGAGCGGGCGGGGGCTGTGGAATGTCTTTGTCTGCGCGCGGGCCCGCCGAGTGTGGGGCAGCGGACCTGTTATTCGTGGGCCACGCCTCCTCCAACGGCCGAGCCGCGGGAGATCCCTGGAGAGAGGTGCTCCAGAGAGGAATCCGAGCCCCCCCCCCCCCCCGTCCGCCCCTCCGGCTAGGAAATGAAAGGAACGCTTCTGGGAACCCAGGCACGGGCTAGAGGGTTAAAGCAATGTGGGGCCGTAAGACAGGGAAAGACTGCCCCAACGGGATGGGAAGATGGGAGCATTGGGTGAGGCTGAGCCAAGGAGTAAGTAAGTGGCAGGCGGGTGTGAGAAAGGGAAGCCTGGAGGGAGAAGTAGAAGACTAAATGCCACTTATTACAGGACTGCTACTCAGAAGGGTCAATCGGAGACTCAGAGGCCGAAGAAAGGGGCTCCAGACCCAAGTAGGGCATCCAGGAAGTCGGATACTAAGCTTTTCCTGATAGCAGGTTCAAAACTGGCGAGAGAATTCTTGTTAAAGGATGCATTTGGGGTCGGATCCGCAGGTAAATCTGCTTGTCTCCGGCGTTCTATCCCCAGGCCCTAAATGGTGGAAGGAGAGAACTGGCCCTCACAAATTGTCCTCTGACCTCGAGGCACACGCTGGGGGCAGATTAAGATGCACCATTGTAGTGTGTGCACCTGCGCTGAGGAGGGAGAAACACGGGAGAATTCCCGCAAAAGGGAGCTCCAAGCCGCCGAGGGTATCGAAGGGACACCCAGTCCCCGCAAAACAAACCAAGAAGCATTTTGGTTAGATTAGACAGAGAGCACACCTGCAGGCCGAGCACTGGTGAGACTGAGACATTTTAGCGTATACATTTTGTTGCCTTCTGTTTATTCTGTAAAAAGCTGATCACAGGCCCAGTCAGTCCTTAATCCGAGTTGGCTGTATAGTTCTCATGCTCCTACTGCTGGTATGAATGCTGGGTCCTTCACAATGGATCGTACTACACTCAAAAAGACAGAAATTTATTTATTTATTTTTTTCGGAGCTGAGGCCGAACCCAGGGCCTTGTGCTTGCTAGGCAAGAGCTCTACCACCGAGCTAAATCCCCAACCCCTATTTCTCTTAACATAGCATTTCACCGCAGAGTCCTGGCTGGCTTGGCACTCCCTCTGTAGCCCAGGGTGGCTTTGAACTCACAGCAATTCAGTCTTAATCTTCAGAATGCTGGGATAACAGAGATAAATCACCATGAAACAGGCACTTAATACTGCTCTAAAGACCAGGGTACATAGTCTCCAAGGTATTCCCCTCACCCTGAGGTGCTATATGCAGATGGAGCCCAAATCTCTCCCATTAAAAGTCTGAGGCCGAGATGTCAAGGTGGTTCAGCCCGTTAGCATATTGTCAGGCCTGATTGTCTGAGTTCGGTCCCCAAGACCGCATGGTGGGAGGAGAAAACTGACTCTCAAAAGCTGAGCTCTAGAAAAAAAAAAAAGCTGAGCTCTAGTCTCCACATGTGTGCTGTGACACAAGAGCATAGACACACACACAAAGATCTAAACAAAACTTACACGTTTCTTGAATATCATCAACACAACTTTAAGATGCTGAGTTACTGAAAAGCTTGAGTGTTTTTGTTTGTCTTTTTTGTTTTGGGACCTCATTTCTTTGTTTTGTTATTCTTTTTTTTTTTTTTTTTTTTGGTTTTTCGAGACAGGGTTTCTCTGTGTAGTTTTGCGCCTTTCCTGGAACTCGCTTTGGAGACCCGGCTGGCCTCGAACTCACAGAGATCCGCCTGCCTCTGCCTCCCGAGTGCTGGGATTAAAGGCGTGAGCCACCACCGCCCGGCTTGTTATTCTTTTGAGGCAGGGTCTTACCAGGTAGCCCTGGCTAGCCTGGAACTTGATATGTAGAAGTCCACACAGAAGTCCACCTGCCTCTGCCTCTGGAGTGCTAGGATTAAAGGGATGTGCCACCACAACCACCTGAAAAGATTTCTAAAATGCTATTTTATAAATTTTTATCCCATTTATGGTCACCTAACCATGTGTCTCCAGCGTTTGTGGTTGAGTCGCTCCTTGAAGCTAGCCATTGAAAGCACTCAAGAAGAGCCACCCCAAGAGATTTTGCTTTGATACATTGCTTACCAATAGGCAATCTGGTTAAGGATTTCTAAATGTCCTTATCTGTCCAAAGACAGAGCCTTCAATAAGAACTCATTCATCAATTCTCTCCTCAGAGAGTTCTACCACAAACTTTTATCACAGGAGGAGAGACCTCCCATCACAGAGACAGACTGCTACAAATTATTACACACTTTTTTGTTTTCTGGACAGGTCCTTGTTTGTCCCAGGCTAGGCTCAAATGTACCACATAGCTTGATGATGAGCTTGACTGGATCCTCCTGTCTCCATCTCCGTAGCTGGGATTACAGTCTTCCACGACCACCCCCCTGCTTTTGCTGCACTGAGAATCTAACTTTGGGCTTTTTGTATGCTAGCTAGGCAAGCATTCAACCAACCTGAGCTACATTCTAAGCAAAGTTATGAATACTAATTTTATATAATTCATATAATAACCAGTTCTGCTGACCATTACTGGACCTTTGGAGGGTTATGTTTTATTTTTATAATGCAGTATTTTTTTCATTTTTATTTATTTTTCTATTATCAGCTTGATACAGTATTGATTCTTTTTTTTTTTTCTCCCCCAGAGCTGAGGACTGAACCCAGGGACTTGCACTTGCTAGGCAAGTGCTCTACCACTGAGCTAAATCCCCAACCCCTTGTTTTTGTTTTTTGTTTTTTGTTTTGTTTTGTGTTTTGTTTTTTTGAGACAGGGCCCCTCCGTGTAGCTTTTGGAGCCTGTCCTGGAACTCACTTTGTAGATTGAACTCACAGAGATCCTCCTGCCTCTGCCTCCCGAGTGCTGGGATTAAAGGCGTGCGCCACCAGTGCCCGGCGTAAATTCTTATCCTAATAGTGAAATGTTTCATTGAGGCTTGCCCAGTAATTGAGCAAAACCAAAATTTATTATAAGCCACAGTCATCCTACTCTGATTGTTCTTTGCTTTATATCTAGTATCCACTTATGAGTGACTACATACCATGTTTGTCCTTCTGGGTTTGGGTTACCTCACTCAGGATGATATTTTCTAGTTCCGTCCATTTGCCTGCAAATTTCATGCTGTCATTGTTTTTCTCTGCTGAGTAGTACTCCATTGTGTTTATGTACCATATTTTCTTAATCCATTCTTCAGTTGATGGGCATCTAGGTTGTTTCCAGGTTCTGGCTATTACAAATAGTGCTGCTGTGAACATAATTGAGTATGTGTCTTTGTGGTATGATTGAGCATTCCTTGGTTATATGCCCAAGGGTCTTGGGGTAGTTCGATTCCCAATTTTCTGAGAAACCGCCATACTGATTTCCACAGTGGTTGTACAAGTTTGCATTCCCTCCAACAGTGGAGGAGTGTTCCCTTTGCTCCACATCCTCTCCAACATAGACTGTCATTAGTGTTTTTGATCACAGCCATTCTGACAGGTGCAAGGTGGTATCTCAGAGTCGTTTTGCATTTGCATTTCTCTGATGATTAAGGATGTTGAGCATTTCTTTAAATGTCTTTCAGCCATTTGTGATTCTTCTTTTGAGAATTCTCTGTTTAGCTCTTTAGCCCATTTTTTAATTGGATTGTTCAGTATTTTGATATCTAGTTTCTTGAGTTCTTTATATACTTTGGAGATCAGTCCTCTGTCAGATGTGGGGTTGGTGAAGATCTTTTCCCTTTCTGTTGGCTGTCTTTTTGTCTTTTTGACCGTGTCTTTTCCCTACAAAAGCTTCTCAGTTTCAAGAGGTCCCATTTATTAATTGTTGTGCTCAGTGTTTGTGCTGCTGGTATTATATTTAGGAAGTGATTTCCTGTGCCAATGCATTCAAGACTACTTCCTACTTTCTCTTCTTTTTTTTTTTTTTTTTTTTTGGTTTTTCAAGACAGGGTTTCTCTGTGTAGCTTTGCGCCTTTCCTGGTACTCGCTTTGGAGACCAGGCTGGCCTCGAACTCACAGAGATCCACCTGCCTCTGCCTCCCGAGTGCTGGGATTAAAGGTGTGCGCCACCACCGCCCGGCCCCTACTTTCTCTTCTATTAAGTTTAGTGTAACTGGATTTATGTTGAGGTCTTTGATCCACTTGGACTTGAGTTTTGTGCATGGTGACAGATATGGATCTATTTGTAATCTTTTACATATTGACATCCAGTTATGCCAGCACAATTTGTTGAAGATGCTTTCTTTTTTCCATTGTATAGTTTTGGCTTCTTTGTCAAAAAAATCAGGTGTTCATATGTGTGTGGATTAATGTCAGGGTCTTCAATTTGATTCCATTGGTCTGTGTGTCAGTTTTTGTGCCAGTACCAAGCTGTTTTTATTACTGTAGCTCTATAGTAGAGCTTGAGGTCAGGGATGATGATGCCTCCAGAGGTTGCTTTATTATACAGGATTTTTTTTAACTATCCTGGGTCTTTTGTTTTTCCATATAAAGTTGAGTATTTTTCTTTCAAAGTCTGTGAAGAATTGTGTTGGAATTTTGATGGGGATTGCATTGAATCTGTAGATTGCTTTTGGTAAGATTGCCATTTTTACTATGTTAATCCTACCTATCCATGAGCATGGGAGGTCCTTCCATTTTCTGATATTTTCTTCAATTTCTTTTTTAGAGATTTAAAGTTCTTATAAAACAGGTCCTTCCCTTGTTTCATTAGTGTTATCCCAAGGTATTTTA